CATTCCCAGTGTCCTTTTGATCCCAGGGACAAGTGTGAAGGTCTCTGAATTGGACTACCATTTCAACTCGGGGCATGACCTCCCTGCATGGGTAACAGTAACGTCTTTCCCCTGTTGTAAAACATCTGACTGATCCCCGCCAAACACTCTCAGAACCAGACATGACATCAATACTGGTACAATCCTGTGCTCCTCTTTGTGCACATTTTTCTAAAATGCTGGCCTCGTTAGTTCTCCTTAATCATGCTCATTCCCTAAAAAGGGAAGACCAAAAAAAACTGGATCCTAGGATACGCATGCTAAGCACATTTTCACCCCAAAACTTAGCCTTAATCTTCTGAAGGCAAATGTCTTTATAAGCTCCCTCTTCTGTTGCTGCCACTTTTCCTAAACCGCAGGCCTTGCTGACTTGCAGTGGGGCCAGGATAGATTGTGGTTATGTGGTGGGTTCTGTCAGACGAGCTTTGACAAGGCCTCAGAATAGACCCTGGGCACCAGCCAGGGAAACTGCCACTCACAAGTTCCAACTTCATCCTCATATGTTAGTCCCTCAGCACTTTTTTTTTCCACTAGTCTCTCTCATTTTAAAAGGGCAAAGATTCCTGAACCTCCTCCTGGTCATGAGTGAGCTGTATAACATTGAAATTAAAAATGTAAACCTCCCTTATTCTGTTCACAAACACTCTGAAGAATAAAGACTAAATCTGTACCTACCTTTTGCCTTGAGAAATTAATCCATCAATAGCACTTTGGTTTGCAAAAGGATTTTGGATCTCAAACCCCACAGAGGTTTATTTTATTAGGAATAGACTAGGCTATAGAAGATAAAGGAAGAGAGAAGGTAGGCCATTTATTTCCCATGTGACTAATAATATGGCAGCAGACTTCTGCAGGGCAAGAAGTAAAACTATATACAATGTTTTTAATTGATATTGGTCATCAAATCCTAAAACAATCAAGTTACTACAAAAGGCACTCATTTAACTAGTATTACCAAATATAAATGAAGTAGTTTGTAATAGCACAGTCTTCAAGGTACAGTACTTTTACCTTTACCTGTATAAATAAAATTACCCAGCTGTCACTCTAAAATGTTGAAAATTACCTTATAAAATACATTTACAGTATATTTTTAAATTGTGAGGATAAAGAATACAAAGCAATTAAGCACTCTTTTCTCCTACAAGGTTAAGAAAAAGGTAACTTCTATTATAAAATAAATCCCAATATAAGCTTGAAATAAATTTTTAAAATTTCACAATTTAATTCCCAAACTTACACTCACACTTTCAGAAATAAATTCCATATACACACTTATGCACTAGAGCAAAGACTTACATACGAGTTGTTCCTTACAGCAGTGTTAGTGGAAAGCTAAAAACAACCTAAATGTCTGTCAATAGGGAATGTTAAAATAAATTATGGAAAATGAACAAGCTATGGTTCATCTACACTAGGCAGGACATCCATTCTTTTTAAAAATTAGATGGACATATGTGCTAATATACAATGATCTCTAAGACATATCAAGGGTAAGAATGAAAGGTATAGGACATTCCTCCTAAACATAGGTGATTATATATGCAAGAGAAAATTTGGAGAGAGATACACAGGAAACCATTAAGAGTGGTTGCTTGGATTATGTAGTCAGCGTAGGGGGTGGGGGAAGAAGGTTAGAAGTTTACTGTGGAAAGAAAACTTCCTTTTCACCATATAACATTTTCTTTTTAAATGTTTAGCAATTTTAAAAAGTCCCACAAACATCTACTGAACCCATGAAGTGAGCACTCCCCTTCTATGGATGCCATTTCTTCCCTCTTCTTTTTTTAAAAAAATTAATTAATTAATTAATTAATTTATGGCTTCATTGGGTTTGCGCATGGGCTTAGTTGCTCTGCAGCATGTGGGATCTTCCCGGACCAGGGATCGAACCCATGTCCCCTGCACTGGCAGGCAGATTCTTAACCACTGCACCACCAAGGAAGTCCCTTCTGTCTTCTTAACCACCTGTATTCTTATCTACTGCTCTCCCCACCACTAGACCAAAACAGAAGCATACATATGGAGCAAATCTCAGAGCTTCTACAAGAAACAGAATTCTCTCTCCATTCCCCGACCAAAATAAAGATATAACAGAATAAATGAAAAAGTATTAGCATATAATAAACCCAGTTTTTAGCCCAGTGTTTTATTCCTTTTAAGTGTGGCTTAATTTATTGTAGGCCAAAAAGTTTTTAAAGTGAAAGCACAATGTGCAACACACAAAAAATCATTTCTAATGGTATCCTATCTATTACCTTAAAGGAAAGAATGGAGAAAAAGCCAAAGTTATTTTACTCACAGGGTAAATTTTGCTCAATTCCTTCCTTCTGAAGTTTTAAAAGTTGAGTTTTGAATGATGGTCATAAAGTCTTTATTTGCAAACTGGATAAGGTGGTACATTTTTCCTGTTAAAGGACCATCTCTCCGTTCAGATTCTCCAGAGAGAAAGCAACCACCTAAAAGGAAAAGGCTATGAAATGGTCTCTATGTAGGTGCAATGGAAAGTGCTTCTATGCTGAGGACAGAAGAACTGTATTTCCTCTAAAATGATCCTCATCGACATTCCCAACACGCTATAGGGAGTTTTTTTTAATATATATATTATCATCAATTCTGTTCCTCTTCCAACTAGGAGCAGGGTAAACAATTCACAAACAGCTTTGCAAGAAACTGCTCCCTCTCTCTCATTTCTAGTAAAGATCAGTTTTTGGTTTTGTTTTGAGAGAAAAAGACTCTACTTTGCCAAATATATTCCCCGTATCACTTTTTTCCTTCATTGTGGAGATGCTTAAATCCTGACCTAAGAAGGCTTCTCTTGCATATCTACCTATCAGGACTGTCAGTTCAGGCGGTTTCCACAAGGGATTTTCCAAAAGGGAATAGCTGTTCACTGGAAACTGAAACTCTTAAGTCACTATTAGCTGGACACAAATCAAAAGCAACATTAGGGAACACTCTGAATATAAGAATGGACATCCAAGGAAATAAGATGCGGAAATTTAGTCAAAGAATTAAAGGAATTTCGTAAGCAAGACCAACAGGGTAAACTTACTATTACTTTACAACTGATAACTAACTAAAGTTCCTTATAAATCAAAATCAAGGTAAAATAAGCTGACTTCCAAAAAGAAGAAAAAGAAAAGAAGGCTAAGAGTATCAAGAACGCTGTGATTCAAAGTCATTTTGCTTAGCAACACGTTAAAAGCCAAAATGATCAAATTACATTTCTGTAATAAAAAGTTATTTCTAGTTTAAAATGAATTCATTCCAATAATGAAGCACCACTTCAATACACACTTTCTTCTCTACCAGAACTTAAATATGAGCTCAGTATAGTCTCACTGCACACTTTTAAGGGCAGAATCCCCCAAATGGGTAAGGCCTTTCACTCAAGACTCTTCTGTGTACCGCAGATTCTTTCAGTGAAGTTTTTCCTGCCTTAAAGATGTAGCTCTCCTTTTCACCGATATTTATTTTGTTTCTAGACACTTACCTTCCTTTATTTATCTTCCCACATTTGGCAAAAAAAGAAAGTGGGTAAAATCACAACAATCCACTTAGGAACTAACAAACTATTCTAAATCCAAAGCTTCTGCAAAAGTTCACTTTTTATTTCCTTACTATACTTCATGACAATAAATATGCAGCAACAAACCTAACAAAGCATCATTACAACACTTCCTATGAGCAAAGGCATCTAATTAAACAGGCAGTAACAAACTTCTAGCTTTCCTCTATTCCAAGTTTAATATCCATATCAATGATTCACAAAGCCAGTGACCTAACTTCCTAAATGAATCACACTTTCCGAAATTCTTATTCTACATGAGTATAATACTGGGTCATCATCCCTACATGTGTTAAACAGAGCATGATGTTTGTTAAACGGTTAATTCTGCAAGACCTTCAAACCACAGCAAACGCCAAGTTCCTGCCAACTAACCCTTACCTGCAACACTTTGCCTTTTCCAACAATTGCACCTCTTCATACAGAAGCATCCCCCAAATAAACATTTTACCTTGAAACAATGTTATTTTAAACACTAATTAAGAACTGATCCATCCACACCCTGCTCTCCATCTCTGTGGTTCCATTACTGTATCCACATTCTCTTCCCATTGTGATGCCATAAAAAAGTAACGGGCACTGTTATCCTTACATATTATCTTTTAATCAATGAACCTACGCTGCAGCTTTTCTTTTTCGGGCAGAAATGCTGAGTCATTAAATGGAAACTCAAAGAAAATACGCTACAAAGAGTTACAGTTTAGGATGCAATATTTCCCTGGCCAGGTCTCCGCAGCCTTATATTTGTATCTCCCACGGTGGAAAAAGTAGAGCAAACACTTGCACTTTTCCGTCCCCTCGAAGAAAGAAAAAGACACAGGTTTCCTTAGGTTCTCTGGCTTCCTGCGGGATATCCACGGGCACGAGAAGCAGGCCTGGCTGGAGCTATATAGCTTAACAATCTGGGTGTGAATAACACCTCGCATTAGTCAAGCATTAACCCTGACACTCCTAACAAGCGCCTGTTATGCCCGCGCTTCAGTTCGGGTCAAGGAGGAAGAAAAAAAATCCCACAAAAGCGCTACGCCCTCCACCGGCCTGACACCCTTCCCCGGGGTGGCCGGACGGGTACAGAACCGAGGGAGTGCCGCGTCCGGGGAGCAGGAGAAGGAGCCCAGAGCACTCGAAGCGGAGAGACAGCGGCCCGAGTTCATTTCTCCCACAATGGGAGTAACGCCGTCCCCGCTCGCGGACCGAGGCTGCGCGTTCGAGACCCGGCGTGAAGCCCGAGGACGCCGCAGGCAGGGGGCAACCTCGACCCCGGGGCCCGCCTGGGGGCCCGGCCCCTAGCAGGAGTCCGCGGCGGCGCGGACCTCGCCGGGCTGCAGAGGCCGGGAAGACGGCCCCGCTCTCCGCTCCCCTCCAGGCCGGCGGGAGGAGCGGCCCTTACCTGTCTCCGGGCGCGGGCTATGGCTGCGACGCCGCCCGGGAAGGGCCGGAGCGCAGCTCGCCGGCCGGGAGCTCGCCGGGGCGAAGGGCGAGGGGCGCGGAGGGCGGACTGGGTCCTGGGTCCCCGGCCAGGCGGGCCGGGCTGGATGCGGCGGCTCCCGGCGCGGCAGCCGGTCGGTCAGTCACGCCGATGTCCCTAGGCGCCGCGGCTGAGACAGCGGGAACCGGCCCCCAGGAGGAGCCGCAGCCCGAGCGGCGGGCGGCGGAGGCGGAGGAGGGGCGGGGCCACAGTGTCTATGACCCGCTCACCCGGAAGCAGTTGTGGTCGCGGTGGCGCGCGCTGCGGGACGGGCTTGTCCCCCAGCCGCCGGCTGCGCACCACCTGTGGGGAAGAGGTTTGGGACCGCGGGTAAGGTGGAGGCCCGGGCGGCCTCCCGAGGTGGCTCCTCCGGGCCCGCGGGGCCCACCCAACCCCTCCGACCCAGGACCGGGTCCGGGAATGTGAATTGATGCGCGTGCCCGTTCGAGGCAGCCCCTGCCCTGGTCACCTCCAAACTGTCCGGCCTAGTGGGCTTGGGTGAGTGGGCCCGGGTGTCAGTTCTAACGGTAGGAACGAAGGTGGGTGGGTGTGGTCGAAATGCTGAAAGCCTTATTTCCAAAATGAATGATTTTGAAATGATTTCCGTAGAAGAATGCTGGGGGCGAGGGGGGAAAAATATAGAGTCCGTTAAATATCTGATGGACACGGACCTGTCCTTCATTCCGGAAGTCTCTCTCGAGATCCACCAGGTTCAAGGCCCTGGAGAAAGACCGGGTCCTGCGCTTTGGGAAGCTCATTTTCTAGTAGGGTAGACGGATTTAAGCAAACAAGGCAATGACAGATTGCGGTGCGGCTTCGCAGGAAATACACAAAGGTGATGAGAGATTTTGTGGGCGAGACCTCTGGCAGGATGGGTTGGTTGGAGAAAACCTCTAGAAGGAAGCGGTAGTTGAACAGCCTCCTGGGAAGAAGGCACGAAATACACTTCGACACCACTTTACATCCAGGGACTGTAGGTTCCAGAACCCCCTGAATAAGCCCACAATTCCATGTTAAGAACCTGGCTCTAATGCCTTCCAAGGGCTGTTTCTCTGCTGCCCACCCCTGCGATTTCAGAAGGCTTGCTCTCCCTTTAGAGTTCATGACGGCTGGAGTATGGCACTGCAAGGGAGGCATGAATTAGGGAACTTTGGTCTCTAGGCAGTAAGACATCAACAGGTGGCTTCACCACAGGAGAATTATCATACCATCAGCCTTGAAAGACAAAATCTCTAACCTCGCACTTTCTCTTTCCATGTCACTATTTTTCTCAGACCTGTGAGCAAACACTGAAACTATGGTTTTCACCTGGGATCAATAGGGGCTAAATATTCCCAAAAGATCATACTATGTTATGATCTGAATAAAAGAATTAATGACATATTTTTGCTAAATCAGTTAAAGATAAAATAAAAAGCGGACTTTCAAGAGAGAACCTATTCAGGCACCTGAATAATACCAATAAATCCAATAATGTTTATTAAATATTTAAGTTTATATAACTGCATAATTAATGGAAAGATTGGGTAATATTAGGATTAGATGCTCTTGCTTTTTAAAATCTTACTCTTTAGCCACTTGTTTTGGCTCATAGCAAACTAACAAAGAAAGGTTCTGCCATATCTTCTGGGAAAACTGGGAGGAAGCTCACACTTATTGACTACCTACTATTTGCACAGCATTGTACTAAGCTATTAAATATATTATCCCTTTCAGTACTAGGACCAGCCTTGAGATATGGGGATTATTATACCCATTTTAGTAACAAAGACATTGAGATTCAGAGCAATTATGACTTGCCTAAGGTAACAAAACTAGTAGCTGAGAGTCAGAATTTGAAACTCTAGTCTTTCTGGCCCTAATTCCCCTTTTACTTTATGCTATATTGCTGTACTTTAATATTTAAAAAGGAAACATAAATGAAGTGTACGGCCAAGCAAATTTCTATATTGCTCTTATAACTTTATTATGAGAGTATACTTTAAGGTAGAGTGGTATGAGGCAATTTTGGAACTTCTCTGTATTTTTACTTCTCCCACTATAGGATATTTGCCATCTGTTGCCAAAAAAACTATTCCACTTGTTTTAAAGTTCACAGTGGGGACTTCCCTGGTGGTCCAGTGGCTAAGACTCCGCACTCCCAATGCAGGGGGCCTGGGTTCGATCCCTGGTCAGGGATCTAGATCCCACATGCAGCAACTAAAGATCCTGCATGCCGCAACTAAGACCTGGCGCGTCCAAATAAATAAATATTAAAAAGAAGTTCATGGGCTTCCCTGGTGGCGCAGTGGTTGAGAGTCCGCCTGCCGACGCAGGGGACACGGGTTCGTGCCCCGGTCTGGGAGGATCCACATGCCGCGGAGCAGCTAGGCCCGTGAGCCATGGCCACTGAGCCTGCACGTCCAGAGCCTGTGCTCTGCAATGGGAGAGGCCACAACAGTGAGAGGCCCGCGTACCGGAAAAAAAAAAAAAAAAGTTCATGATGGCATGTGTCTTTTAAAGGCTCCTAAGAATGTTATAAAGTATGACACTAACATTTTGTCATTGCAAGGGGATCCTGACTAAATGCATCACTCTGAACTGTTTCACAGCAGTCTTTCTCTGCACATTCTCTCTGCCAAAAATATGTGTTCCCAAATCTTTATGGAATAATTCTGACATGTGAATGCCCCCAGGTCTGTGTGGGCTGTCCGCTCTAGGGACATATTAATAGATGAAGGAAAATTTTTAAAGTGTTTATATGGTTTTGAGCAATGAGGTGGTAGGATCTGTACATTTTTGTTCATTTCATATCAGATCCTTCACATTTTTCTTTGATGATGTCAAGAAATACAAATTTTCCTTTCTCAAGAGCAAACACTCATTTTTGTGGCTTTCACAAAATTGACTTTTGCAAACACAATACTATGTTTCACTCTACACACATCTCTGGAAAACATTAGTTCAAACATTAAAAATAGGATGCTACTTTTCAGAGCCCAGTATTTTTATTAGTAAAGTGTATATGTAGCATACTTTGAAAGAATTTTTTAAATTTTGGTTGACTCCTTACAAACCTATGGAAACCTAGCAAAGCAACAGTCTGTGACTGCTGACTATGTATATTTGCTTTAAGCTCTCTTTCCAAACATTATTTCTTATCTAGATTTCCTATTTTTTTCTTGCTTTCCTATTTTTGGGGGTGGGGGAGGGGAATAACTATAGACTCACAAGAAGTTACAAAAATAGTACAGACAAGTCCTGTGTACTCTTTACCCAGTTTCCCCCGTTGGCAGCATCTTACATAACCTATAATACATTATTAAAACTAAGAAACTGACATCTTGCTATCTTTAGATTTTTAGTTTCTTTTTGTGTTTCATCATATCAGAAAATTACCACTTTGCAACAATTCATTTCTGTTATATCTGGCGCTTCTCCCTTTCCTTAATTAGCAGACGGCAATATCAATAAGCTTGCCACAATACTCGTCTGGAATTACAAGTTTACTAAAAAATTCTGTGGGTCAACACACTTAAAAGTGATTTATTTGTAAGATTTTTGTTTTTTCTGCTTATATTGTTCCATGTCTTCCTGCCCTAATAAACCTATAAATTTATACAACCTGCGTATGTGTGTTTTAATACATCCTCTGACCACTGAAATGTTTTCAAAGAGATTGCTATTAAAGTAAAAGAATGCAGGGCTTCCCTGGTGGCGCAGTGGTTGAGAGTCCGCCTGCCGATGCAGGGGACACGGGTTCGTGTCCCGGTCCGGGAAGATCCCACATGCCGTGGAGCCGCTGGGCCCGTGAGCCCTGGCTGCTGAGCCTGCGCGTCCGGAGCCTGTGCTTCGCAACGGGAGGGGCCACAGCGGTGAGGGGCCCGCGTACCGCAAAAAAAAAAAAAAAAAACAAAGAATGCATAGGTCCTCATTTGACTGGGAAAAGAAAGAAAAAAGTTTGTAAACATCTAACTATCCGAATGAGAATGCTGTGGTCTGTTGGTTTGGAAGCCAGATCTCACTTACGGCTAATTCTAGCTCCATATGGATTCTCCTAGCCAGAGCAGCTCATCCTTTACTCCACCAGAGAGCAAACGAAGGAAAGAGAAGTGTAAGTTACTTTCTTCAGACTTAGTGATGAGGAAAGTTTGATGAGAAGGGAGAATTTGGAAATTCGTGAAGGTATCAGTTATGTATAAATGCCTAATCACAGATAATCAAGTGATGGCTCTTCTGCATTGTATATACATTGTAAATGAGTAATCAAACATTCTTCATATTACAGCTCATTTAGCAAAGTTACTCATCTACTGTATACCAGGCCCCCAGTTAGGCACTAGTAACACAGGAACACAACAGGATCTTTTTTTTTTTTTTTTTTTTTTTTTTTTTTGGCGCGCGGGCCTCTCTTTTTTGTTGCCTCTCCCGTTGCGGAGCACAGGCTCCGGACGCGCAGGCTCAGCGGCCATGGCTCACGGGCCCAGCCGCTCCGCGGCATGTGGGATCCTCCCGGACCGGGGCACGAACCGGTGTCCCCTGCATCGGCAGGCGGACTCTCAACCACTGCGCCACCAGGGAAGCCCTCGAGGCTAGTTTTGTTTGTAGTTACCAGTTACTTTATATTACATTCAGAATATTTATATGCATCACTATCTGCTCTGCACTTGCATTCTAAAGGGTTTTGTGCTTTAACGTTGGTCTTATCTAAACAGAGTATACATTTCTTGAGAAAAGATCTATTTTCTTTTACACACTTCACAATGCCATATCACAAAGACATTTTACAATGCTCATGTAATAAATTATTGGAATGTAGAGTTTGTTATCATAAAGCATCAATTTTCTTACAAATATTTAATTTGGACACTTGTAGCTTCGTAAGTTTACACTTACGAAAATAAGGGTAGACTTAGAATTTTCAGTCTTTTGCCCTCACGCCCATATCACTTTGGAGGAATAAGAGAGCGCCCTCTTGGGGAAAAAAAAAAAAAGGCTCAGCCCTCCTCCGTATTAGCTTTATACTCAAACTTCATGTGATAGCAAGACAGTTCCCAACAACTTCAAAGTGTACCTCCACCCCAGTCCAAGTTCAGCAAGAAAGAGATCCTTCCCAGTAGTCCTGGATTCACTAATTGAACCAACCTGGTTAACTGCCCATCCCTTAACAAATTACTGAGCTAGGAAAATTCTGTGCTGTGATTGGCCAAATATG